GGGGGGACAATTTGCTCCAGCCCCCCTGGACATCCATAGAGGGACATTGGGGACAACCCCAACCCCCTGTGGGGGACAACTGGGGGTCACAGGGGACAATGTCCCCCCCGTGTCCCCTTGGACATGCACAGAGGGAAGCCCCACGGGGGTCCAAAGGGGGCAGTGACCCCCCCCCCAAGTCCCCTTGTGCACTTGGGGTGACACGAGTCACCCGAGACCCCTGGGACACCAATGAGGGGACCTGGGGATGCCCGACATGGGGTCCATAGGGCACAATGGCCTCAGTGTCCCCAGTGTCCGCAGCAACCCCGCGTGCTCAGGGGGCGCTTGGGGTGACACAACTCACCCGAGACCCCTGGGACACCAAGGAGGGGACCCGGGGCTGCCCATAGGGGACAATGTCCCCGGTGTCCCCAGGCTCAGGGCGCGCCCGGCGGCGGCAGCTTGCCCGTGATCTTGTTGGCGCCCTCGAGCAGCGCGTTGTGGATGTCCTTGGCGCCCGCGATCTGCGCCTTGATGAGCGGCAGGTACTGGGTGTAGGGGAGGCTCTCGCCGGCGCCCGCCTCGGGCTTCGTGGCCGTGGGCACCAGCGTGGGCGAGTGCTTGGTGCTGTCGAAGCTCTGCGAGAGGCACTCGTGCGCCAGGCGCTGCGGGGCAGCGCCGCGTCACCCATGGGGACAGCGTGGGGACATCCAGGGGGGCGCAGGGCTGTGTCCCCAAGGGACGCCCCAGGAAGAGTGTGGGGACACTCTGCTCACTGGTGTCAACCTGCTCCCCGGTGTCCCCGTGCACCCCGGTATCCCTGTGTCCCCACCACTTACCGGGTGTCACAGTGCCCCCCAGTCCACACACCACCCCATGTCTCCTGGTGTCCCCCAGGTGTCCCTGCGCCACCCCGTGTCTCCCGGCGTCCCCGTGTCTCCCGGTGTGCCCACGGCTCACCAGGCACAGCTCCAGCTGGTCACACAGCGCGTAGAACTCCTCCAGGCTCTTGTCAAAGCGCTGCAGGGCCCCGTCCGCGCTCTTCCTGCGCGGGGGACGGCCCGGTCACCGCTGCCACCCCGCCGGCAGCAGGGGGGTGTGGGGGACAAGCAGGGCGGGGGGGACGCGGGGACGTCACTCACTGCCCGTTGTCGATGTTCGAGTTCTGCACCAGGTTCTGGGCTGCCACCTTCATCAGCGTCTGTGGGGGGGACACGGAGGGGGTGACAATGGCCGGGGGGGGGACGGGACATGTGGCCACCGATGGGTCATCCCAAGGGGCTGCGGGGAGCCCCCCCCCCCCCCAAGGGGGG